TTTTTTTTTTTTTTTGGTCATGAGAAATTGGACTTTCCACCGCGCCCTGCACACACAATTCATTTAGACTTTTTCATGAATTTTTTCGACTTGCACAAACAACCTGTCCAGGTCACTCCTCAGGTCATCGAGCAGGCCCTTGGCCGATTCCAGGTTGTTCTCGTTGGTTTCGATTTTCACCGAGTAGGCCACCAAGCTGTCCACGGCAGTCCTGAGCATCTTCAAGTCCGCCTCCACCTGGCTGACGGAGGATTTGAGGTGGTCCAGAGAAGACAGCCTGTCCAGGAAGTCCTCCGGCGGCAAGCGGGCCGCCTGGGCTTGGTCCTGACCCAGCAGCGTGTGGACTTGCTCCTGAACCTTCTGGAGCGTGTCCACGGCGCTGGGGAGCTCGCCCATGCTCCTCTTCAGCTCCTCCACGTCGCCGTAGAGCGAGAGCTGGGCCTCTCCCAGGCTCCTCACGGTGCTGGCCAGGCCGCCCCTGTCCGCCTCCTCCGAGGAGTCCAGGCCGTCCAGGCGCTGCTGCAGGGCGGCCAGGCGCTGCTCGCACTCCTCGCTCTTGGCCAGCAGGGACTCCAGGCTCTCCCTCTGCCGCGCGGAGGCCATCTGCACGGCCTGGACCCCGTCTTCCATGGCCTGCAGCCGGGCGTCCAAGCCCTGGCTCTTTCTCTGGAGCGCGTCTAGGGCGTTGGAGTTTTTGAAGACCCCATCTTCTTCCGGCTCGAGGGACTGGGCCTTCAGCTGGCGCAGCTCCTCCGCGAGTCTGCTGACCTCCTCGGGGAGGCGGGAGGTGGCCTCCTCCGACCGGAGGACCTTCTCCGTGAGGGCCTGCAAGGTCAGGTGCTCCGAATCGGCCGCCTCCTTGAACTTCTGCTGCTCCTGTTTGAGGCTCACCAGCTCCTTGACCTCGGTGTAGACATCCGACTCCATGGTCTGAAGGGTGCTTCTCAGGGCCTCCAGGTCCTTGTCTCTGGACTTCAGAGAGGCCTGTATGCCCTTCACGACTTCCTTCAAGGCTTTCAACTCCTGCTTGTCCCCCTCGGAGTGTTCCAGAGAGGCCACCTTCGCCTTCACGTCGTTGATCTCCTTCTGGCTCCTCTTCTGGACCTCAGTGAAGATGGCGATGTTGTCGTTGATGGACTTGGTGAGCTCCGTCAGCCTCTCCTCCACCGTGTTCTCGAGGGACGTGAAGTCCCGCTCCCGGGCATCCTTCACCACGTGGATGCCGTCCGAGAGGTCCTTGAGAATCTCGTTCTGGAGCTTTTGCAGGACTTCGCTGATCCGGTTGATCTCGCTCTCCCCCTGCTTCATGACTTTCTCCGCGAGCTCTTGCTTATGTTGGAAGGTTCTCAAGAAGGACTCAAAAGTCCCCAACGTGGCTTGCAGAGACTGCACCTGTAAGCAAAGTCCAGATGTTAACTGCTAAGAAGAGCTGATGAGTGTTATGCAACACAGCTCATTTCTTTTTGTCTGCCCAGCTTCCAAGTCCCTCCTCCTCTAGAACGGTGCCACAGTTTCCCTTTGGAGAACCATCCTTCCACATACAATCTATGTCAGGGGTCCTCAAACTTTTTAAACAGGGGGCCAGTTCACTGTCCCTCAGACCGTTGGAGGGCCAGACTATAGTTTAAAAAAAAAACTATGAACAAGTTCCTATGCACACTGCACATATCTTATTTTGAAGGAAAAAAACAAAACGGGAACAAATACAATATTTGTATTTGCATGTGGCCCGCGGGCCGTAGTTTGAGGACCCCTGATCTATGTGGTTTGGGGGACCAATCTAAGGGCCACCCCCCGCCCCCCAAGTGTTCCATGGATGGTTTATAACACAGGCTTAGTCAAACAGCACTCTCCATCCACCTTCCCCCCAAATTAGAGCCACATGATTAGCCCAGGGATGGGCATATGGCCTAAAGCAGGCCAGCAAGTCGATTCCAGAACTTCCTTTAAACCTACTCAGAAAGCAAGCCACTTTCTATACCTGATTGCTAGCTACAGAATGAGGAAGCCTGGAACTGAGCTACGCAGACTAGCACAGGAAGAATGCAGGCCTAAGAATCAAGCCAGCACAGAGGGAAGCAGAAGTGAGAAACAAGATAACAAGATCAAGGTCTGAAGATACAATCTGAATTCCCGGATGCAGCTATACCTGAAGGAATCTCTCCCCACCCACTGCTCTTTGAGCCGAGTTTCTAGCTTTTGCAAGAGAAAGAGTCTCACAAATTTTCAGAGGAAAATAGCTGAGGCACGTGGGAGACACTGGGCTGGGAGGCAAGAGACAAGGGCACGGGCCTCTGTTCACCACTTTTAGCTGTGAGGCCCTGCACAAGTCATCGTCCTTACCTGCAACATGGGAGCGGTGGACCCGATGATCCTTTAGCATTCTCTGGCTTAGTGAACACATTATGATCCCGTTTGCCATTACACATTCATTTTCAATAAATTCCACCCTAAACAAGGTCTGACCTCGGAACTACCCCAGGGAGCTGGTTGAAATGTACTGAGAGGCTGACAGATGATGATTAATGGCCCAGGCTTTATCCGAATGTGGTACATGGGGCCACATTGGACGCTTTCTTACACACACACACAACAGGAAAAAGAACCTGAATCTATCAAGTCTCTAATTTTTTTGTGAATTGGTTAGTCACCAATTCACAAAAAAACATACTAGTGAGAAATATGCCAGGAGGAAGCAATCAGCCAAATCCACAAAGAGGAAAATTCCACAGGACAAATAACCAGGATCTTCAACAAGTAAGTGGCATTTTTAAATGGCATTTTAAAAGGGAGAAAGACAGGAGACTATTACAGGTTAAAAGAAATTTAAGACTTATCAATCAAATGTAATGTGCAGACATAAATGGATCCTGATTCAAACAAACCAACTGTAAAAGAGACATTTTTTTAGAGAATCGGGGAAATCTCATTATGAACTGGGTATTAGAAGATAATAAAGAATATTTGTTAATTTTGTTAGGTATAATAGACTGTTTTGTCGAAAGAAACAAGGAAAAAAAAGAGGAAAAGGAACTCTTAAATGTTAGAAATAAATCCTAAAAATACTTTGGGTGTGTCAATCAGGGATTATTTTTATAATTAGTTCCTAGTTCACTATCCACAGGTCTGTCAGGGCAACACGGGGCCCTTCAGAGGGCCTAGAACAGTGGTCAGCAAACTGTGGCTTTCGAGCCACATGCGGCTCTTTGGCCCCTTGAGTGTGGCTCTTCCACAAAAGACCTGCTTCTGCGCATGGCCACGAAGTTTCAATCGCACTGTACGTGCGCGCCCACACGTGGTATTTTGTGGAAGAGCCACACTCAAGGGGCCAAAGCCCCGCATGTGGCTCGCGAGCCGCGGTTTGCCGACCATGGGCCTAGAATCAACTGGCAACATTTTCTGAAGCTGCACCCATTTGTGCAGTGAATCTTCTGGGTAAGGGCAGGCCAGCTTCTCTGCCCAGGCTGTAACCATTCAGAAGACCTGGCCATTTTCCAAAACTGGGAACCAACAGAAACCAGGAGACCAACAGAAACCAGGTGGGCACACACGAGGGCAGTGGAGTAGAGTGCTTAGGCATCAAGCTGAGAGGAGAAGGGGTGGCGATAGAATGAAATAGAAAAAAATGATAATTACTGAAACTGGGATTCATTATATGGATCTCTTCTTTTGTTTATGCTTCAACATTCCCGTGATACATGGTTAAAAAATGAAATAGTGTGGGCTCTAGAACCAGACTGTATGTTCATAGCCCAGCTTTTACACTTCCTGTGTGCTTATGGGCAAGTAACTTAAGCTGGGGTCAGGACACCCCAAGACCTTCAGCTCCACCACTCAGGATCTGTGTGTGACCTTGGTTTCCTCAGCTGCAGGATGGAAACAAAAATAGTACCCAATTCAGCGTTGTCTTGTGAGTTAATCTATGTAAAGTGCTTCACAATTGTGCCTAACACACAGTGAATGACCAACAATGGCATCTTCATTATTGTTTAATCTTTCTCCTGAAGTAGCTCAGAAGCCTGGAGATTCCTAGACCATCCTTAGCCCAATGCCAAAGGGAAAACACTACAGGAATGGGAACAGGACACCTGGGCTCTAGTTCCAGCCCCACCAATCTCAAGCTCTGTGGGCACAAATAAGTCACACTCGCTTCCCAAGTCCCAAGCTCCTTGTCTATTAGCAAACAGGTTTCTCAAGTCCCTTCCGGCTTCCACCAGTCTGTGATTTTAAGATAAATTAGACTAAGGTTCTCAGGGACTCTAGGATATTAGACAATTTTCCTGCCCAACCAAATATAACCTGAATCATTAAGGACAGTGGAGAGAACTCACCTCTAAAACTAGGTTATGTAATTACAGTACTGGCCTGTTCTAAGCATAGCACTCAGAATAGAGGTGTGAGAGCAGTACCTGCAACATGCAGGTGTTCACCAATATTTTCTGAATGAATCAAAGAATAAATGAATTAACAGAGCAAAATCTAATGAGGACCAAGCTGGTCCATTTCCTCTCTGATCCCTGATTGTCACCCTGGGCTGGCTTTTTACAAATGGCTGGGAAGGGGACTAGATCAGATGTCATGAATCAAACCAAACAAACCAAACCTCAACCCTTATGGAAAGAACATAGAAAGAGCCTCCCCCTCCCCCCTACTGATGCTGATGGTTGTTCATTTTTACATGCAAAATCTTTATTATAATTAACTAGTGGCCCGGTGCATGAATTTGTGCACATTAAAAGGAAATTATTTTGAAGAAATATTTTAATATCGCTATTCGCCCTTTCTCTATAATACAAGTGTCAACCAAATTCACAATCGACAATAACAGATGGAAACACACGTGTGCCCTTGGCACCAGCAAGAGCTTTATATATATTGTACATGCGTGAGTCAACTTAGCCTTTTATAGATATAGAATAAACTTGCTTATTAGACCTGCTTTCTGATTTAGCTAAACTTTCTCGAGCCCAGTGAAGCACCCCAACTTCTCTTTCAGGTAATTGTCAGCAACACAGCAGTAAATATCAACACGAAGCAGATTCTTATTGTAGATCAGGCAGGGAGAACAAAGGGTAAAATATTTAACTGCAGCAGTGTTTGACTATATTCTGTGCAGTGAGAAAACCTGGTCATTAACAAGGTCCACCATTTCTTACTTCATTTCAGTGGGGTCAAGTTTCTAAACTTTCTAAATCTCGGTTTTCTGACTAATGAAAAGAAAATAGGATTCCACCGAGTCTCCTATCTACCTACTCAAGGACTTCTGTGAGGATCAAATGAGATGAGGCCCAGGAAAGGGCTTCACGGACATTTGGTTAAAGCAATGGTCGGCAAACTGCAGCTCGGCAGACCGCGGCTCGCAAGCCACATGCGGCTCTTTGGCCCATTCAGTGTGGCTCTTCCACAAAATACCGACTTCTGTGCATGGATCATGAAGTTTCAATGGCACTGTACGTGCATGCTCACACATGGTATTTTGTGGAAGACCCACACTGAAGGGGCCAAAGAGCGCATGTGGCTCATGAGCCACAGTTTGCTGACCATGCGCCTAAGTAATCTTGAGAAAAAAGAACAAAGTTGGAGTTATCAGACTACCTAATATAAAACTACAATGCAAGGAAGTTGACTACTTCAGAGACTTCATCTCATTCCATCCTCATTATAATCCCATGAGTTGGTGGCTCCCATTGACCATTTTACAAGTGAGGAGCTGGAAAAGGGGTAGAGCTGAGGATCAAAATCCCTGAAGGTGGGACTTCAGAGCCCGAGCTCTTAACCTCTATGCAATATGCTTGGGCAGAGATGCGTTCAAGGGCACCGAGTGCCTGGAGAAGCTGCCTAACCCTGAAGCCCTGACTCCTGGTCAAAATGGGAAAACAAAGAAATACGACCAGAGAACTCACTCTTCTACAAATAAGTGGTCTCATCAAACCACCCCCACCCACTAGGCCTAAGCTGACTCCTTCAACCACTTTGGGCCACCCTGGATCTGCCAGGGCAACCCCAGGACCTTCAGCTCCCCCCTCAGGATCTGTGTGTGACCCTGAACCATAACAACCGCTCTAGGCTCAGCTGGCCCCTCTGTGAACTAATAAGTGGCACTTGCCTTAGGGTGGCTGGGAAGCACTTAAGAGAATGCCCAGTGTTAATATGTGAATACTAATTATGGAAAACACTGTAGGTATAATACTATGAATAATAATAATGAATACCAATTATGAATAACACTATACGTATATGTCCCTGCCAAGATCCAAACCTCAGCCCCAACCAAGCCTCATATCGAGTTATAAAAAGGTTTCAAACTCAGGTTGTCAGAGGACCCACTATTCAATCCAAAATAACTTACTTACTGTCACCCAGAGTTGCATGTGAGAAGCACTGGGCTGCCCTAGCCAATCTGGCTCAATGGATAGA